CCCCTTCCCTTAAAAATTTCCCCCCCCCCAAACCCTCCGACCCCCCCCCCCCCCCACCCCCTCCTTTCTTCCTCTTCTCTCCTCGCGACCCCCTATGGAACCACCACCAAAAGCCTCTCAACTCTCATTTCGTTTGATAGAAAAGATGAAAAATAAAAAAATATGAAAAATAAGAGGAATACACTTTCTTTAGTTGGATGGATGGAATATAAAAATAATTAATTTTTTTTGTCTAATATTTGGGATGACAATCGAGTCGTGTCGTGTCAAATTTGTGTTGAGTCATAAAATTATGAACTTTTTATATTTCTTATTCGCGTGTCAAATCCTTTTCAAGTTCGTGTCAAGTTATAATCAAGTTCGTGTCATAAAATTCGTATCGAATTATATATATATATATATCATTGCATTTTTTATATGAAATTAACGTATACATAATATATAAACAAATAAGATATATCTCAACACAAATAATTAACTTTTCATCCACTTTCCTTCCGATTTTGGAAGGATTGATTTTGGTGAGTTAGAATGAAAGTTAATCCATCCACTTTTTCATCCTTCCTATTTTCCTTCCTTACCAAATATGATGTTTTATTTATTCCTCCAACTTTTCATCCTTCCAATTTTTTATTCTTCTATTTTTCCATCATACTAAACGGAATATGATTCTTTCGTCATTTGGTTCTCTCTTTCCTATCTACTTATAGTGACGGATTTAGTATGGGAATAGCTGCTCCCACTGAAATCTTAAAAAANACATGATATTTTATTTATTCCTTCAACTTTTCATCCTTCCAATTTTTTATTCTTCTATTTTTCCAACATACTAAACGGAATATGATTCTTTCGTCATTTGGTTCTCTCTTTCCTATCTACTTATAGTGACGGATTTAGTATGGGAATAGCTGCTCCCACTGAAATCTTAAAAAATTTTGGAATCTAAGTGTATTTTTAAAAATTTCAAAAATTTCTTAAATTTATTCCCATTGAAATTTTTTTAAAATATAAGTATATTAATATAATTTTCAACCCTTAAAAGCTAACTTTTGACAACTTGTCCTCATTTTTCACAGCTGACAATTGCTCCCACTGAAATTTTTAAAAAATTTGGGATCTAGCTGTGACNATTTGGAATCTAAGTGTAATTTTAAAATTTTCAAAAATTTCTTAAACTTATTCCCATTGAAATTTTTTTAAAATATAAGTATATTAATATAATTTTCAACCCTTAAAAGCTAACTTTTGACAACTTGTCCTCATTTTTCACAGCTGACAGTTGCTCCCACTTGAAATTTTTAAAAAGTTTGGGATCTAGCTGTGACTTTAAAAATTTCAAGAATTTCTTAAACTTGCTCCACTGAAATTTTNATTGCTCCCACTGAAATTTTTAAAAAATTTGGGATCTAGCTGTGACTTTAAAAATTTCAAGAATTTCTTAAACTTGCTCCACTGAAATTTTCTTAAAGTATAGGGTATATTAATATAATTTTCAACCCTTAAAAACTAACTTTTGGCTACTCCTTTTTCACGCTTACTTTTTTTTTTTTTTTTCCATAAGCCTTCGTCTTCTTCATCCAGCTTTCCAGTCTAGTCCAGTTCAGGCGTCCAACCCCTCTTCTTTCTTTTAGTAGTTTCTTTGTTAGTTACTTTGGTGAATTNTCCTTAAAACCTAACTTTTGGCTGCTCCTTTTTCACGCTTACTTTTTTTTTCTTTTTTTTTTCCGTAAGCCTTCGTCTTTTTCATCCAGCTTTCCAGTCTAGTCCAGTTCAGGCGTCCAACCCCTCTTCTTTCTTTTAGTAGTTTCTTTGTTAGTTACTTTGGTGAATTCATCAACAAATTATCCTATTAGATTCAATCATTGTGCAAATCAAATTTGAAGAAACCCTAAAAGATTATGTTGAAGCTGAGGAGAGGTAATTCATTAACCAAATTTGTTGATATTAGTATTAACACTAATCTAAAATCAAATTTTTATATTAAAAAATTAGTTTAGTTCTTGTAGAATTGATGGTTGTTTGGTGTCTTATTTATAGACTTATGTAGGTTTTTTTGTGTTTCATCTTGGGTTACCACTCAACTAGTTTAGATTTTTTGTTGAAGTCCCTATTCAGATTGGCTATCTGAAATTCTTGGTTAGTGTTATTTTTCTTCCTATGATTAAATTGCTTTAATTGATTTTTTAAAATTCTAGTTTAAATTATATTTTGGATTTATGAATTATATTTTGATTATGTGTAATCCATTATTTCATTTGTTACGAACTCAATGACAAACTCTTAAACTTCAATCTAATTAAACAAATTTATTTTTCAATCAGTTGTGGATAGGTTTCTTATAAGAAAATCAACATTGGAACAACCATCTCCTAATCAAGAAATAGATAATTGTGGCAGTGACATACGACATTATTCTAATCAAAGTCATGAAGGAGTTGATCTAAAAAATCTTCCTTCTGATCCTAGGCAAAGAATTAAAATTTCGAATTATCATCCTAATGACCATTGGTGTATTTGTTTATCAAACTAACACTTATCTTACTAGTTGTCACTGCAACTGTTGAAATAGCATGTTCATCAATGAACATAATAAAAAATCGATTGTGNGTTGGTATATTTGTTTATCAAACTAACACTTATCTTACTAGTTGACACTGCAACTGTTGAAATAGCATGTTCATCAATGAACATAATAAAAAATCGATTGTGCAATCAAATAGGAGATCAATGAATGATTGATTGCTTGGTTGCATATATTGAGAAAGATGTTTCAAGTATCTTTGAAAATGAAATGATTATGCAACAGTTCCAAAATATAAAAACTCATCGAGAACAATTATAATGATTTATTGGATATTTGAGATTTGGGTTGAGAGCTCCTTTTGTACAGAATTTTGAACACTAAAGGATACTTTTGATATGAAACTTTTTTGTTGCATTTTTTTGTACATCCCTCGTATATATGAGTTACGCCTCTAAATGGTCTTCTTTTGATGTAACTATACTTATAAACAGTTGATTAAGAAAGCATATTCTGATGAAAATAATATTACAATTATTCTTTAAAATTTAAAAATGTAGGTTACTCCCACTGAGGCAAAATCCTAGCTCCGCCCTTGTCTACTTAGTTTGCCTTGTTACTTTGTTCTCTTAATAAGAAGAAATGTTATTGATTATCTCGGAACATTGTGAAATGCAATCAAGAAGGATTTTCTTGTACTTGAGTCTCCATTGAACTGCCAATTTCCATCTATACAAGGACTTTCTTGCCTTCTTAGATACAAGTAACTTAGCACCAATACGTCCACCCTGCAGTTCATTACTTGACAAGAAAGCACACACCTCACCTCTAAATGCTGGCAGCTCCTTCTCCAGGTTCATTGGTGTATGAAGATCTTGCAATTTGTCAATGGTGCTAAGCAGTAACATGTCCTGTTCAACTGATGTGGGGAAACTCTTCAAAAGAACATCACATTCCTTTGCTATCCATTTCATCACAATTACCTCATTTTCAGCGGACACTTGAGTTCCTGAATAAACAAGGTGTCCAATAGACTTACGATGGTTTGGAGGTGTTGCCCATAATCGCACAGCTAAGAGCAGGGCAAAGGATGGCATCCCGTCTTTGTGGATGTATAGCGAGTCTTTGGGCCATGAACACAAGGAGTACATTCCAGGTTCTAAAGCAACAAAAGCCTTATCATTTGGGTTTTCATTGAGAAGAAACCCGTAGTGTTCAAGGAGCTCCAAATTTGTGTATGTCCCATAGCTTAGAAGAACCTGCAGCCAAAAAACAACTTCAAATTCCATCTAATTTTTGCTGTTTTATCCTATATTCTATTTGTTCCAAACTGAAACAAGATTGTGGATGTGTCCATAATCTAATTCTGATCTGACTTTTGCTCTCTGTCATTCACCACTGGTTCTACATTTTTCTTTTCTGTGGTCATTCATGTAAGACAAGCTGCAGATTGTTGCTTGATATTATGCCAAACAATTATAACAGCCCATTGGATTCATTGTTGAACTATAAAGAGATATAGGAGAAATTCACTTGTAACAGTAACTGACATATTCAACGCATTCATGTCAATCTTGCAGCTGTCCAACAGAATCATTTACTGGTTAATAATGCTTCAGTAGAGACACCAAGTGAAAGAAACTGAAACACAAGAGCCTGCAAGTAGTTGGATATAACAGTAAGGCAGCAAGCAAATGAAAACAATTTCTCGCATGACTCTCTCAAGCTATAACATAAATCACTAGGGAGGCTAGCAAGCATCAACATATCAACACGAGATTTCTCCAAAGGGACTCTGAACTTTACAACCATGTAAACTGACTCCTCCCAAACACCCCAGCCCCTCAAAATCCCCAACACAATGAAACTGCGAAAAGTAATCCAATAAATGTGTCTAGTAGTAGCTGAGGTAGCTTAATGCTGGTATCACCTAGTCCACTTGAGAGTATCTGATGACATAGTGGAATATAAAAGAGTTGGGAACCATAAAACTAATGCTATAGTTATTTGCCTAGGGATCTGCAGTTCTGTACTGGTGCTCTCTTAAACCAAAAGAATTTTTAATAACTGACATGTGTCTCAATCATTAACATCCCTAACTACTGTGAAACGTGCTTTCACATTCTCTGTTTCCTAATGTCGTCACTTAAGCATGCCAATGTTCACAATTTGACTACTACCATTTTTCAGCCAAAATTTTTCAACACTTTAACAATTAATTCGAAGTGATGCAGCCAGCCTCATCTTCGTATATCTTAACTTCCAGTTTTGTTAGCAGCCCACCATAACAACACACTCTGAAAGTTCTTCTTCCCTTAATTATCAACTCTCCATCAGGAGTAATGTTCCCTCCATTTCCACCTTCCTAAAAGATGAGCTATCAAACAAGTGAAGATGGTCATCTTGTATCCCCAATGCATAACTTTTAACTCTGGTGTTTAATCATATTCCGACGAATTTATGAGATGTTATCTTGACCTTTCTTTCCTAGGATCCTATACCAAGAGACTCTAAAAGGTATTTGTGAGAGCCAAAAATCAAAATTCACTCCTCAAGTTCTATCATCTATTATTTAGCAGGAAAAGAATACGAAAGCAATAGCCCCTGTTGGACTTCTCCCAAAATGTGCCTATCAAATTCAACCTAGATTTACAGATTAATTAAATTCCCAAGTCTCTCCTTAAACTGTACAGTAATCATTGTTATAGTTATTAGTATTGTACGATACGCGATACGTATCGTACGATATGTCACGATATCCTTGAAAAACGATACGTATCGTGCCTCTGTATCGTTTTTGTACCATATCGTACGATACACAATACGCCCAATACATACGATACGTGACGATTCTATTTTTTTTTTTTTAAATTTTTTAGTGTTGAAATGATATCGTTTTATCCTATGACTTTTTTTTTTAAATCACTAACTAGTGAAACAATATCGTTTCAGTTGAATTCAAACAATGTCGTTATAGTTTAAAAAAAATAAATAAAATATATGTTGTTAATGTTGTTCAATTGAATTCAAAATTCCTAATTAATATTAAGGTTGTTCAAGTAGTTGATATTAGAAGCTTGAATTAGAGGTTTTTGCATTTTGATATTACTAAACTATGTTAGGAACTTGAATAGTTGGTGGAATATTAATGAAATACTATGTTATTATGAGTCTATGATTTTTTTATAAAGGTATATACGTATATTTTATTAATAATTATTTAAAAATTAAAATTTGCGCGTATCTTACGATACACGATACACAATACGATATGATACACTATTTTAAAAAAAGGATACGTCTTCCGATACATAATTTGACAACTATGATCATTGTTGCTTTATTTCAAGCCATTTGTGAAATATATATGAACTAATATTAGAGATAACACTCACTCCAATGCAAAGTCCAGCACCTGGCTTACGGGTCTTTTTGCCACAAAACTCACAGCTGTATCAGGGCAAGACTTCTGTTGTATGAGCTTAACTGATATCCCTTTGAACGTTATTCCAATCAATAGGAAAAAATTGGTGTGCGCAAATTGATTCTGGATCAAAAACCATTTCTGAAGATGTATAAATCATATTCCATAATGCTTGTAAAGAGGAGACACCTTAATACTACTGCTTCTATGAATCAAATTAGGAGTACACCAATGTAAGGGTAGGTCACCTTGCATCAACACCTAACATAGACCTGCGACCAGATATACATATAGAAAGAACACTATTATAATCTAAAATGCACGGATACAAAGACAGGACATGGACACGATACGATATGGACGTGCCGACAAATCCCTGATCATTCCAAGAGGCAAAATTATTGCTTGTTCGACTCCTCATCAAACAACAACTTCCTGCTATACTTAGATGGTTGACTGGTAGATTAGGGCTCTAAGCACAATTTCACCAAAAAACTTCAATGTCTAATGTTTTCTTATATATTACACAATTAATAAAAGACCACATAATCATCCGGCTTATTGCTGCTTGGACAATGGAAACTCCTCTTGTGTACCTCCGTGATAAAAATCAAAAGAACTAATGGAACCCAAATACATTGTTGCTAGCTGAACAACCTAAAAACCACTAAACTAATATTTAAACTAATTGGGTTTAAATGAACCTCAAACCGCACACAAGAATAAAAAGCTTATAACACTGCATAAGACCATGTGGTTTGACAGGAAGGATGTTTGGCAGTACCTGCTCACCTTTTCTGTAGTTTCTTCTAGCATAGAAGCAATATGCACCAACATGTTCCTCATATTTACCATCCATCAACCTCAGCGAGTTGGGATCAAACTTCTCATCATCTGATATCTCTCTAGTATACCAAGAGCTATCTTGCAATGAAGAGGCAATTCCCTGAGCCCTCGAACCGTCAGAACCATATGGTTCTTCCCCTGGTGCAGCATAATTAAAGAAGTCTCCAACGGGGCATAAACAGCCAGCCACATCCCAAGGTATGTGCATTGTGCGAGAGGATATCTGTAAGCATAATTGTATTGAAAATTTCAAACTCTAAAATTACAATACAAATACTAAACCAATGACTTTGTAGCAAGTACATCGAGCTTCAGGGCACAAAAATTACCTGAAATACATATTAAACATATACGGATGCTGAATAACACGATTGCGCAATCTCAAAAAGTTCATTTTTAATACAAATTAGTGTCACTGTAATCTGCAATACAAATTAGTCATTGATTCAATACACTTACAGTAGCAGAAGCCCAGCGCCATGCCTTTAACGTTAGGAGTTGAGGTTTGAGCTTAAGTTCACTCATTAGAGGTGTAGCTTCTTTCCACTCCAATTCGGCCTTCCCTAAAGCCTTTTCCGCCAACCAGATGGCATCATCTACCTAGCATTCATTCATAATGTTTCACAAACGTTTAGATATCCTAAAAAAGTTTCAAAATATATAGGACAAACTCTCAACCATTGATAGTACTAAAAAGTATAAGTCAAATTTAGAGACCACACTTGCAAAGATTGGGCTTCAAATTGGCCAAAACTCGCCAGTGTGTCATAACTACGCGGCAACTGCATTATGTATGGGTTCCACCATGAAATCTTCCCCTTACCCACTTCATTCAATAATGCAGCAGTCAGTGTCTGCATTAAGCAATTTAGAACAAAATATCAGTTCAAAGATTTGGTTAAATGGTCAATGGTGAAGGTAACCGCTACTCCACTACCACAGCCATTTTCTAGTGCATTCACATAGTGCAACGGTACGTAGATTCACCTAGAAATACAGCACAAATATGCCTACGTTCGACTGTACATATAGTGTACACCAAACTATAACCCTGTTTGGTTCCTGAAAAATAGATTTGTTGGGGCTTTGGAATCTTAAAAAACAAAAATCTGATATCTCAAATTCTCTCCATAACTACTAAAAACAGTAATTTTCGTAGTAAGCAAACAAACAGGAAATAAACAAAAAGGGAAATTCGCTGCTTTGGGATGAAGGAGCACCTGAGTGGAGGAGAGAGAAGGGCGTTTCTGAACAGCAACAGAGAGTTTCTGATCTTCCATCATTAGTCTTTGGGTCGTCATTAGGGCAGACTTTGGAACTCTGAGAATCAATTCGCCTTTTTGAAGATCACGAACAGCAGCTAAGCCTCTCCTGCAGCATATCAAAATTCACATACATACATTTATATATATGCGTATATATATCTATATATCAATTTATATCGGCCTGGAGAGGGAGAGAGAGAGGAGAAGGCTTTGACTGTATTACCCGCCTGCTTCGGGAAAATCAGAGACACAGAGGGAGAGTCCCAAAGAGGAACTTCGACGCGTGAGGCTTTCCGATTGGGTGAAAGAATAAGGAGAGTCTGATATTCCGAGCTCTGCAGTCCATTCCAGGAAATTTTCCAGGTTTGCATGTTCTTCCTCCATCTCTCTCTCTCGTTCCCTTCATCAGAACTACATGGAGGCACCACCGACGCAGACTCCGAGAGGGTTTACAGAGACTTCACAGAATTACACTTCCCACCCCCTCTTTTCTTGGGCTGGTCTAATAGCATTGGAACTCCAAGCCCAATCCAACCACAAATTGTGGACTTGGACAGGTCCAATATTACTAGCATTCGGATTATACTGAACTTAGTGCTCGGGGTTTTAGAGGTTTTTTGTAAATTTTTAAGGAAAATTTGAACGTCGGTCTCTCCCTATATATACTTGTTTAGACTTAAGTCCGTCAAAAAAATTTATTTATTATTAAGTTTGTTTTTTGTCAATTTTACCATACTATCCCTTCCCTTTAGAAATAACATTAAAATCTTTTCTCTCATATCTATTTATATCCATGTATATGTTAAGAGTTTAACTAACATTAAAATTTTTTCTCTCTCTTATCTATCTATATATAGTTTATATATATATATATGGTGGCGAACACGTTTTGAGGACAAATCTCGTCTTCCAATTACTACTTGGGAGTNGACTAACATTAAAATTTTCTCTCTCTCTCTTATCTATCTATATATAGTTTATATATATATATATGGTGGCGAACACGTTCTGAGGACAAATCTCGTCTTCCAATTACTACTTGGGAGTCTCTGTCCGCTGAAATGAAGGAGCAATTTCTTCCCAGCAACACGGCTTGGCAAGCCCGTGATGCATTGAGGAAACTTCGATGCTAGTGAGATCTACCTTCTCAGCATCCGGAGTACGGACTGCTTTGAAGTAATGTCCCTGTCACACCCTAATTAACTTAGGTGCAAATGGCCGGTCTTGGTGGCACCTTGCACCAAGGCATGCCAGAAATTGGAATCAAGGTGACGTGGCTAAGTGGTTCGACAGATTGGAGCGAACCAAGGCAGCATGAGACCACCCGGTTGAGTATGGTAGCATGGGTGGGCTCAATTGAAGCAATATAGGTGCAGAGCTTCGGATTGCATGACATGAGTTGAACCCAGCATGCACATTGGTTCGAGTAGCAAGGTTGACTGGTGAATGTGGGCACCTGATTGGCACATGGTTGCTCAATGCATGTGACCAGGAGGATGTGGGCAGTTATGATACTGAGACTCAATCAAGGCAGTTCTGGATGTCCCCAGTCTGAATCCAGTCTAGATGCATGCTGATGAAGGGGCAGTTCCATAGCAGTTACTTGAAGTGGTGGAACTGCCTGTCAGGTGTTGCACAGAAACCAAGTCTACTAGTCCAGTATGCTATGGAATAGCAAAAACGTGGGTAACTACCCCTTGGCAGATGGGGGTGTCATCTGCCTTCCTCTTGTATAAATAGAGGTGCTTGAGCATTCTGGAGAGGGGAGAGTGTTCTGGCTTTTGAGAGTCCTTGTAAATTGTTGAGTTCAATATATAAGGTTTGGGAGTGTTGTCCTAGTAGATTCGTGTGTGTCTTCTGTGTGAGTTTTTGTCCCTTATTCTTGAGTTGAGTGNCACCTGATTGGCACATGGTTGCTCAATGCATGTGACCAGAAGGATGTGGGCAGTTATGATACTGAGACTCAATCAAGGCAGTTCTGGATGTCCCCAGTCTGAATCCAGTCTAGATGCATGCTGATGAAGGGGCAGTTCCATAGCAGTTACTTGAAGTGGTGGAACTGCCTGTCAGGTGTTGCACAGAAACCAAGTCTACTAGTCCAGTATGCTATGGAATAGCAAAAACGTGGGTAACTACCCCTTGGCAGATGGGGGTGTCATCTGCCTTCCTCTTGTATAAATAGAGGTGCTTGAGCATTCTGGAGAGGGGAGAGTGTTCTGGCTTTTGAGAGTCCTTGTAAATTGTTGAGTTCAATATATAAGGTTTGGGAGTGTTGTCCCAGTAGATTCGTGTGTGTCTTCTGTGTGAGTTTTTGTCCCTTATTCTTGAGTTGAGTGTGGTTGGTTGTAATAGCAACGCCTTCACAGGTAACCTCAAAAGAAAAACAAAAGTTACCCTGTGACAGTTTGGTATCAGAGCGTGGTTTTGGCAACAGATCAATTATGGCTGGCGGAACAAATGCTGATCTAAGGGAAAATGTGGCACGGTTGGAGGAGCTAGTTGGTCCTCCACAGTCCGGTGATGCTGTAGCTCTCTGTGTGCAGATTGAGTTGCTATATCAGCGATTCGAAGAGATGCGTGTTGCACATGAACAACTTCAAAAGACTGAATCTGATCACTTCAGTCGAGTGAAAAACGAAGTCGTTGACATGTTGGCTACGATCTCCACATGGACCGATGATATGGGGGAAAAATTGAGTTCCCTTGAGACCGACGTTTCAGTGCTTAAGAGGGCATTGCAGAATGNGAGTGAAAAACGAAGTCGTTGACATGTTGGCTACGATCTCCACATGGACCGATGATATTGGGAAAAAATTGAGTTCCCTTGAGACCGACGTTTCAGTGCTTAAGAGGGCATTGCAGAATGTCCCTGTGACTTCTGGCAGTGAAAGTACTCAGAAAGCTAAAGTGTCTGACCCTAAGCCTTTCACAGGCAGTCGAAATGCTAAAGAACTCGAGAATTTTCTGTGGGATATGGGACATTACTTCAAAGCAGTCCATACTCAGGATGCTGAGAAGGTAGATCTCACTAGCATGTATCTGTCCGGTGATGCTAAATTATGGTGACGAACACGTTCTGAGGATAAATCTCGTCTTCCAATTACTACTTGAGAGTCTCTGTCCGCTAAAATGAAGGAGCAATTTCTTCCCAGCAACACGGCTTGGCAAGCCCGTGATGCATTGAGGAAACTTCGACATACAAGCACCGTGAGGGAGTACGTGAAGCGATTCTCGTCTCTGATGCTTGACATTAAAAATATGTCAGAGGAAGACAAACTGTTCAACTTTATGTCTGGCCTCCAAACTTGGGCACAGGCAAAACTTCGTCGGCAAGGGGTGAAGGATTTACCCGCTGTTATGTCCGCAACAGACGCGCTGGTTGATTACAAAACGCAGGCTAATCCTCTAGAGAAGGAGTCGAAAGGGAAAGCCAAGTTTGCTAAGAAGGATAAGCAGAAGAAAAAGGCTGAGAAGTTTGGCAATTCAGAAAAACAGACTGACAAAACCTCTTCATCAAAGGGAGGTGTTGACTCGGGATGTTTTATCTGTAATGGCCCTCATCGTGCCAGAAATTGCCCCAAGAAGGAAAAGCTCAGTGCCCTCATGGCTGAGGAAACTGATTGTTCTGACGAACCAACACGAGTCAACCTATTACAACTTCTTAATGCAATTTGCAAAGAGGAGACAGTAGCAAAGAGGGGGTTGATATTTGTGCAGATTCGCCTGAACAATGTGGCTGTCCAGGCAATGGTCGATACAGGTGCAACCCATAATTTTGTTTCTGATCGGGAAGTACAGCGGCTTGGTCTGGCTTTGGTGAAAGACTCTAGCCAGATTAAGGCTGTTAATTCAGAAGCAAAACCAGTAGGCGGCGTCGCAAGAGAAGTCCCTCTAAAAGTGGGTGATTGGCAAGGAACATGTGATTTTATGGCAGTCCCTCTCGATGATTTCCAGGTAATCCTTGGACTGCAATTCCTTACAAAGGCAATGGTGTCTATTATGCCGCATTTAAATGGGATGTTCGTGATGGACATGCCCAATCCTTGTTTTGTTCCCCTCACCAAAGCCAAGCCTTCGGGAAAAATACTGTCTGCCTTACAAGTAAAAGATGGCTTGCGAAAAGGGGAGGCAACATACTTGGCTGTTCTATTTGAGGAAGAGGAGTCCAAAGCATTTCAAGTCCCTGAATCAGTACAACAGTTGCTGGTTGAGTTCAAGGATGTGGCACCTAAAGAATT